GGGTGTACAAGCAACTTGAGGCTCTGCAGCTGGATCTCTCTTGAAGCCCTGTGTTGCCCAAAGTCAGTCTGCTCTGGATGATCACATCCCACTCTTTAGGGCTACATCTATAATAGTACATGTGACATCTGACATTGCCACCCTGTGCATAGGCATAGCTGAGGGACAGCATAGCTTGGGTGCTCTTCCCATGGGGTGAGTGAGGCCATCCTTTCTGGAGAAGAGAAGAGGGTTTAGTTGTACAGAAGTGAGCCATACTAGGCTAGATGACCTCAAGGCAAGAGACCTGGCTAAGTTTACACAGTGGTGTTGACACAATCTGGCAGACTGGGATACATTTGGTAGACCACAGCAGGGCTTTGGTGCTGGTGAGGTCACCTTGAGCTGTGGCGATGGACACAGAGTGGAGCTCTCTCCTTGCAGCTTCCTCTACTGGGCTGATCTTGAAAGCTAAGCAAATGTGTTGACCTCCCTGAGCTGTACTTCGTGGAAATCTCATAATGCCTCTTAACTGCACTTGGCAGTCTTTCTTGAGAAAACTCTTCAAAGATTATTTTTTTGTGAAGGGTAGGTGAAGAAAGCTGAGTGGTAGCTTTATGGTAGGGAGTATGAACCTTAGTCAGGTCTCCTTGCTAGCGTGGCTGCTTCTCAAAGTGACTCACTGCCCCTGTGAAATCTATGACTCACTGTTGTCCTGACTTTGTTATGGCTTGGCCCGTTGCTAGTGAGGAGGTGAGGGGTGGTGAGGGTTCCCCAGCTGTATAATTTAGATGTATCGAAGCTGACTGCTCCCTTCCACCCACTCCCCAGCCTTGCACAAGGTGGAGGCTGACACGTGAGGGCTGAAGGACCTGAGGATGGAGTCTGGAATCCCAAGACAAGCATTCTCTCCCTCCCCAAAACTGAGAAGGATGAGCATCCATGCAAAGAGGAAGGCACTGCAACAACAATGATGGAAGACACTGCATGCTGGCACGGAAGGTGATGCGCTTTTATTTCTTGACCTGACCCCAGACAAAGGCCAGGAGATGTGCCCAGCCTGGGTCACTGCTCACCTCTCGCTTTCCCTTACAGACCCTGACAACTCCCTGGAAACCAGGGGGAGGCTGTGGCTTCCTGCAGCCTGCCAGGTGGGTGCTGTGGGCTGTGCCATGCCCATCCCACTGTGGCCAGGACGCCGGCGGTAGCTGCTGGCGAGCAGGGTGTAGAGGAAGGGGTTGACACAGCTGTTGCCATAGGCCAGGCAGGTGACACCAAAGTTGAGGTAGGCATGGGCAGTGGGGCTGATGCCCAGCCCATCCTTCTGGTGCAGCCCAGCCAGCTGCCAGGCCCAGTAGGCCACCACGATGGCAGAGATCCTGGAGAAGAGCCGCCAGGAGGGGGCCTGGCTGGCCACTGGCAGCCCCATGCCCCAGGCCGAGGCCCAGTAGGCCCAGCCCAGGCGGGTGTAGACGATGCCCAACACCAGGCCAGGTGCCAGGATGCTGGTGGTGAACAGCACTGTCAGGTAGAGCCGGAAAGCTGCTGGTGTCCAGATGGGGATGCAGATGCGCTTGTGGGGGCCGTCCCCCTCCCGCAGCTGGGTCATCACCATCATGGGGGTCAGAAGCAGGAGCGAGAGGAGCCAGAGGACGGCACTGGCCAGTTTGCGGTAAGCATTGCTGGCCCGCCTGGCCTGCAGCGGCCTGGCCACTGCCCAGTACCTCTGCAGGCTCATAGCGGTCAGAAAGAAGACACTGGCATGCATGGTGAGGAGGTCCAGGCTGAGCAAAAGCCTGCAGCCCACATCCCCAAAGAGCCACTCATGGGCAAAGTAGGTGCAAACCACGAAGGGGATGGTGGAGATGTACAGGAGGTCAGCCAGGGCAAGGCTGATCACGTAGACCCCCAAGGAGCCTGCTGAGTAGCCCACCACCCTGCCAGAGGCCACTGCCACCGTGTAGATGTTCCCCACCATGCCAGTGAGGCACATGACCAGCAACACTGTGCCCAGTGGCCCCATGACTGGGCTGTCCCCTCCCAAGACACTACTGTCATCACCCCCACCACTGCTTTCCTCCAAGAAACTGCCACCCTTGGGATCCTCTCCAGGCCTTGCACTGATGAAAGAAGGGTTGTAAGACATCTTTGGGTAGGGTGAGCAAGAGCAAATTGAGCTCTCTGTTCCTTCCCCCCTCACTATATGGGACACGTCTAGCCTATATGGGACACAGCAACCAAGGGAAGAATGGCAAGAGTTCATCAGACACAGACAGGTTCTCCAGAGAAGTCTATTCCTCACCTCCAGCTGCCCAGTCCATTTTGCTCACCTTGTCCATCACAAGCTCTATCCACTTGTTTCCCCTAACTATCGAAGGGCCAAGAAAGGGACACTGCCTCCCTTTCGAGACCAATAGGTGCAGGATAACTTCTGCCAGCCAGAGGGAAACATCTCTTCTCTTCACCAGCTCCTCATTTGTTGCTTCTCCAGCATCTGCTGGGCCCAGGGAAACCAGCAGACTTGGTGAACAAGTGGATTTCTGCTCCCAAGTCTGTGTTGTCTCAACTTAGACAGACTCTGGAGAGGTGAGCTCTGCCCCTCTGAACCAACCCCCTGAAAGTTGCCTTGACCACTGCATGGAGGAATGTGTCTGACTCAGCTTCACACACCAGTGTGACTGCAGTCCCAATTCATACTGGGCTTTTAGCCACTAGCTGAGGAGCCCTGCTGGCTCCCTCCTCTTTCTGGCAGACATGATTTCTTCCCCTATATCTTCCTGCACTTTTCTCCCACTATCTTTTCCTTCTTGTTCTTATTTCTCTTTCTTTGTCCCATTTCCCCTTGCACACTTGTCCTCATTTGAGAGAGGAGATAACTGAAAGACAAGACTTCGTAATGTGGCAAGGAAGGGGAGAAAGCACCATGTTGTGGCTTTAGAAGTGAAACAAGGGCCGGCCCTGGAAGTAAAATAGGCAGTGAGCAGCCACACTGCTCTCCTGGGCCCTTAGCAAAGCCAGGCAGAGACAGTCTGTCCCCCATTCCCTCCTAAGGACATCAGGGCCCTTTGAGGTGTAGGCAATGAATACAGTCCCCAGTTTGCAAGCAGGCCCATCATCTGGCAGGACATCTCACATTTTCTGTCCTGGGCCCTGTTCCACCCTTGGTCTCCAGTCAGCAGGAAGCTCCTGACGACTCAGAGGGCTCAATATTTCAGACCTAGTCTTTCCTCCCTCTCCACAAAGACCATCCTCCTTCTCTAGGTTTTCCCCTCCTTTCCTCCAAGCCCCTCACAGCAGCGAGCAGAAGTCCATTAGGTAGGCACAATCACCTTCTAGAGGGAAATCATCAGGTGACACCGATGCCCGATGTTACCCTTGCTCTTCCCTTGCCCACATCTGAGCCTCCTCATCTCAAGGAAGACACAGTGGGACAGAATTTGTAGAGCAGAGACAGATGCATCATATGAAATATGCTCGGCTGTTAGTTCACAGGGGTTTTCAGGCCACTCCAGCCACACTCTTTTGCATTATTAGTGTATTAGCTTCATTGTGGCTGAGTCAAACGACTCTGCTCATCTCCATCAGCAATAACTCAGCAGCAAACAGAAGGAAGCATCCCGTCGGTACTCCCCTCACTGTGCAACGGCCTTCATTTTTTAGGAAAGTCAAAGTTCCAAACTCAAAGAGATCAGCAAATTGCAGTGAAAATACACTGTTAGGTGGATATTTCCACTGCGTCATGGCAGCAGGATGAGTGATGCTGCTTCCCATGCAGGAAGTCGATACTCTCAGCAGATTGTGGTAGCCTCAGCACAGAGAATCAGCAGGGGACCATGACTTTGCCCATTTGGTTCTGGTGGGAATAATCACAGTCCACGTGCCCCAGGAAATACAATGAATAGCTATGGCTCTTTACTCTGATAGTTTGTGCTTTTTTCCCAAGAAATTACCTCATACCTTAGCAATTAGCAGGTCAGCTAGTTTTGGAAGTTAAACTAAATTAAAATGGGATTTTTTTCATTTATTTCTTTAGGAGCTAATTAAAATACTGGTAGCCTCATTAATTCTGGTTAGCTCCCCTTAATGCACAAGATACCTTCCCTCACACTGCCTATGGAAAACTGCAAATACATCTGACACTACAGTCACCAGCAGAACTCAGCTGATCCTTCCAGTATGTGAAACACAGCTCTCCTAGGAGAAGCCCTAAGAGATGACCTTTAAGACATGACTCATGGGTTGATTTAGTGTTTGGGGCTGTTACTAGAAGAACATGAAAATACATTTTCCCTGTTATAATACTGCACAAAATGATACGTATGGTGATATACAAGATAAATGTTTGTAATGTGTAGGTCATAATGAAAGTGCCAGGCCTTTGACATACAGAGAACGAGAGCGCAGAAATCCATTCTATATTCAGACACCAGCCTCTAGGCTCTAGCAGAGTCAGACTCCAAACTCTATGCATGCTATAAGTTGCTTTCTGCAGGACCCAACCTCTCTCCCTTGGTTTGACTAGAGACTTAAGTTTGACAGCTGAACTTCAGTGGCATGAATATCCCTCACAGTATCTTCCCCAGGGCAGTATACCACCTCCCATCATTTTTTGTTATATGCACACATGCACACACACACACACACACACATTATACATACACTCAAATGTATATTCACACATTATTTTTGAGATGATCTCTTAATCTCCTCTGTAGCAATCAGAGGAAGGTCTGCACACAAATGTAGTCTGAAGAAACTTTCAAGCCCATACAGAGCAGAAGGAAACAGGTCTCACATTTGGCTGGTAGGTTACATTTTTTAAGTGACCTTTCTCAACTACAGCTCTAACTGATCAAATATCTAAATGTTTCACATCTCTGTCACCAGCAGAGATGACACTTTTTTTAAAGGAACAGGTTCTCTTAGTCCAGCAGCCCCTGCAACCTTCTGGGGTGCCTGGCTCCAGCCAGGCAGCTGTTTTCTTGAGTAAGGTAGGTGGCTGTCTGCAGTTTCATGCAGGAGTGATGATAGGTCCCATGTCCAACATAGTAAGTGCCAAAGTTTTCAAGGCCTGATTGATAGGCAAGACCTGCCAGCATCCAGTCAGATCACAGCAATTTAACAGGGACAGGTTGTACTGAGGATTCTGATTTAAAGTCTTGCACTTGAAAGGAAGCAGCTTAATTGGGCCCTCAAAAAAAGTGGACATTTTGTGGGGGCAAAAGTGCTTCAGGGGTGCTTCAAGAGCACAGTGTTTCTCTGATGTCAATCTGTTCTCCTCTCCTGACAGCCATAGGACCAGGTAGAGTGGAGTCACAGTTCCTGAATGGTTTCCTAGGATTTAAACTTGAAGTAGGCTTCAACTGTAGTAAAGCAAAAAAGGTGGTGAATTAGGGCAATACCCTGAACTGGAGTGGCAGGAGGGGAAGGAAAGAGCATCTTGGCACTTACTTGCATATTCCTGTGGTGTCATGGCCTGGTTGATCACGCTAGTGAAGGCTTTGATCCACTCCAGCTGGTCAGTCTCTGTCTCGCAGGTGAAGAGGTATTCCCGGTCAGGGGTGACAATGGTGATGCCATAGTGCCAAGAGAAGTTGCCCTGTGTCCCTGAAGGCAATCCCTTCTGGACACTATATCCATTCTCTCTGCTGCCCACAAATACCTCACCCTTAGCAAATGCATCCTGTACATCAGGAGGGAAAGACAGTGATTTATGGAATCCCAGAAGAATCAAGGAATAATTACAATGCACCTAAGAACAGGAGAGAGTGTGTGAGGACCAGGGATGTTGCAGCAAAAAGTTTTGGAGGTGGTCAGGGAATTCAGAAGAGCAGGGAGTTTATGCTCAAAGACTGTAGTGAAAAGGACTATCTAAGGATATAGGTCTTGAGAGGTCTGAGAGAGGAACAGGTGCTCCTGTCCCTCCATGTCACCCCTCCATCACCACCTTTACACCGCTACCCTCCCTGTTCCCATTGTTTGCAGGCAGCGAAACACAGAAAGCATGTGACCTAAGTGGGATGGAAAGGGGAAGACGTGGAGCCCATCCAGAGCAGCTGTGGAACCTGCGAGCCACCCTTACTGCAGAGCAAAGACTCTGGTTGCACTTTGACCCTGCCCTCAGCACCGTTTCCTGCAGCTGCCCAGCGGTCAGATCTCCCCCTCACCAAAGGATCCTTGAAGTACATGAGCCTGCGGTGATCCAGCGTGAACCAGCGCTTCTTAAAAGCCTCTCTCTGCTGTGAAGGGAAGAGGTGACAAATGTAAGAGGACATCGCCCTCTGCTGTGAGCAGTATGAATGGATACCCAAAATTCATCCCAACCACTTGAAGCAAGCCCCTGGCTTAAGAGCAACCTCCTCCTCGCCCTTTCTCAGCTGAGAGGGGGGTCAGTATCGGGTTTTTCAGTCCCAGCTGCTGTCCCCAACTCTTGGACTTTGGTAAAGGACCCCAGAGTTGAGACAGGAGAAATCTAGACGCTAAATACCTGTAAGGTCACGCACACACAGACACATGCAGAGAGATCTGTCGCTCTGGGAGAAAGCAGGGACTCTGGCTTCATCTACTTTCACATGTGTCCTTCCCCTTCCTTTAATTGTCCCCTCCCTTGGTGCACACACACTGTTCCCACGGGTGTCTAAAGAGTCAGGGGGGAATGGGGAAACAGCAGGAGAAAAACATTGAAGTTGGGAAAGCCAGTGGCTCTCTGGCTGGTCCCCGTTAAGATTTTCTTTACCATAGTAGCTCACCTTGGGACCAGTCTTCTCCATGTATCCCTCCTTCAAGAAATTTCTCGTCAGACGATTTTTAATCTGACAAAAAGGCAAGAGTAATATTCACTTAGCTGCGCTTCTTTGCTGTTCATTTCCCCTCCGCCTTTCCAATTCAAGTCACCTTCCCTCAAATTCAGTCACCTTCTAAATTCATATTTCCTGAACTGCCTAGCCAGGAGTCACTTCTGCTTCCAAAATGCCCAGAAACAGCAGAAAGTGGTTGTTTGCTGACCGCCACAGGCCCTTTTAAACATACATTCTCATCCCTCTATCAAGACACTGCAATTTCCACTTCTGTACCTGGGGTTATAATAGTAACTAATGAGCTCCTTTATCACATAAGCAGCAAGAGACTCAGCACTGTGCTCTAGCGCTGTCTTACCTCATTATCGCTGGCAATGGGAAATGCTACCTTCAGATAATGGAACTGCACAGAGCGAATGGCATTGAACCAGTCCACTACCTCCTGAAAATGGAAAAGCACAGTATAGAAAGCTTAGCCAGAGCAACAGTGAGCCATCTAAATTCACCCAGACCTCTGTTAAATACACAATGTAGTCAGTTCTCCTTCCCAAGCACCTCTCAGCATCTCCCTCATTTGCACACAGCCAGCACAGAATCACAGAGTCACAGAACATGCTGAGTGGAGAGGATCACAAGGATCATCAAGTCCAACTCTTGGCCCTGCACAGGACCATCCCCAAGAGTCACACCATGTGCCTGAGAGTATCACCCAAACACTTCTTGAACTCTGTGAGGCTTGGTGTTGTGACCACTTCCCTGGGGAGCCTGTTCCAGTGCTCAGCCACGCTCTGGGAGAAGAACCTCTTTTTAATATCCAACCTAAACCTCCCCTGACACAACTTCAGACTATTCCCTCGGGTTCTGTCACTGGTCGCCACAGAGAAGAGATCAGTGCCTGCCCCTCCTCTTCCCTCACGAGGAAGTTGTATCTGCAATGAGGTCTCCCCTCAGTCTCCTCTTCTCCAGGATGAACAGACCAAGAGACCTCAGCCACTCCTCATACGGCTTCCCCTCAAGGCCCTTCACCATCTTCATTGCCTTCCTTTGGACACTCTCTAACAGCTTCATATCTTTCCTATATTGCATGCACAAAACTGCACACAATATTCAAGGTGAGGCTGCCCCAGCGCAGAGCAGAGCAGGACAATCCCCTCCCTCAACCAGCTGGCAATGCTTTGCCTGACGCCCCCAAGGACACGCTTGGCCCTCCTGGCTGCCAGGGCTCTGCTGACTCATATTCGACTTGCCATCAACCAGGACCCCAGGTCCCTTTCCATGGCACTGCTTTCCAGCATCTCATTCCCCAGTCTGTATGAACATCCAGAGTTGCCCCATCCCAGGTGCAGAATCTGGTACTTTCCCTTGTTGAATTTCATATGGTTGATGATTGCCCAGTCCTCTAATTTGTTGAGGTCTCTCTGCAGGGCCTCCCTGCCTTTGAGGGAGTCAGCACCTCCTCCCAGTATTGTATCATCAGCAAACTTGCTTAGTATCCCTTCCAGTGCTGCATCCAAGTCATTTATGAAGATGTTGAAGAGCACAGGGACCAAGATGGAGCCCTGTGGAACCCCACTAGTGACAGGTCACCAGTCTGATGTCACCCCATTCCCTATTACCCTCCGTGCTCAAACACTGAGCCAATTGCTCATCCACCACACGCTGTGTTTATCCAGCTGTGTGCTGGACACTTTGTCCAGAAGGATACAGCGAGAGACAGTATCAAAAGCTTTACTGAAATTAAAAAAAAAAAAAAAAAAGTATCAATTGGCTTTCCTTGATCAACTAGGTGGGTTATCTTGTTGTAGAAGGAAATCAGGTTTAATAAGTAGGACTTTCCTCTCATGAAGCCGTGCTGGCTGTGACCAATGACTGTATTGTCTTTTCAGTGTTTCTCAATACCTCCCAGAATAATCTTCATGACTTTCCCAGGCACTGAAGTGAAACTGACAGGCCTGTAGCACGGCTGACCCATTCCCCACATGCACAGGCAGCACATCTCCACATGTTCTACAGCAGCTCCTCCCACACAAACTGACTCAGCCAGCGCTCCTGTCCTGCTCCCTGCAGCAAAACTCTCCCACAGATACACGGAGAGCCAGAACTCCCACCCCGTTACCTACAGCAACTCCCACTCGCACACCCCATCCTACCCATGTTCCACACTATTTAATATCAGCAGTTCTCAAAGCGTGTCAATGGCTTTGCAGTGTTTGATGCTAAAATCAGATACCTTTCCACTTTCATGGTAGACAAATATATTACGGGTCTTGTTGTCTTTGAGATAGGTGATCTGCAGGCCATTGGGGTTCCCAATCTTCTCTGGCTGGAATGTAGCATTGATGACATCTATTTTAACATTAATTTTGGGTTCTTTGGCCTGAAAACAGAATGGCATTGATCATGCATGAGCAATCTAGAAGGAAAGGGACCCAAGCTATTGACTAAGTGGGGCAAGGCAGGAGCAGAGTGTATTAAAAAGTAATAACTGACCCTTCCCAACAAAATGTATCACACAATCTCTTCACTATGTGGTGACCAAACAGTGGCCCAACCCATCCAATTTAGATTTGAGCTGTACCTTCTCTGGAAGCGCTGGTGAAACACTGAGAGTGTTTCTGACTTTACAGTTGAGCCACTCTAAAGGCTAACTGACCTCAAAAGGAAAGAGCCCACTCTTGGAATCATAGAAATATAAAAGTGTTTGGGTTGGAAGAGACCTTTTAAAGGCCATCTAGTGTGACGCCCCCAGAAATGAGCAGGGAACTCTTCACCTAAATCAGGTTGCTGAGAGTCCCAGTCCAGCCTGACTTTGAACTTTTTCTGATGGGGTGTCCACCACTTCTCTGAGCAATCTGTTCAGTGTTTCACCACCTTCATTGTAAAAGACTTCTTCCTTATATCTAGTTTAAATCTACCCTCTTTTAGTTTAAAAGCATTATCTCCCTTGTCTGATCAAAACAGGCCTGCTAAAAAGTCTGTCCCTATCTTTCTCATAAATTCCCTTTAATACTTGAAAGGCCATATTAAGGTCTCCCCAGAACCTTCTCTTCTATAGGCTGAACCCCAACATTCTCAGCCTGTCTTCACAGAAGAAGTGTTCCAACCCTCTGATCATTTTTGTGGCCCCCTCCTGGACCTGCTCAAACAGGTCCATGACCTTCCTGTGTTGAGGGTCCCAGAGTTGGATGCAGTGCTCCTGGTTGGGTCTCACAAAGGTGGAGTAGAGGGGGAGAATCACCTCCCTTGACCTGCCTGTCACACTTCTTTTGGCACGGCCCAGCATATGGTTGGCTTTTGGGCTGCAAAGGCATGTTGACAGCTCATGTCCACATTTTCATCCATCATTATCCCCCCATCGCTTTCCACAGGGTTGTTCTGAATCCCTTCATCCTCCTGCTGGTATTGATACCAGGGATTGCTCGACACAGGCGCAGGACCTTGCACTTGGCCTCATTAAGCCATATTGGCCCACTTCTTAAGTTTGTCCAGGTCCCCTCTGGACATCTCTTGCTCCTCCCCACCCTGAGCCATTCCCTCCTTTGTGATAGCATATTAGCACTTGCCCCATTTATTTCAGGGAGATGAATGAGCAGAAGAGTAGCTCTTCTCAAAACCAATCAGAGAACATGTTTTTGCCACCTTGGCTCACAAGGGGTGAGGTTGGTTCCAGGGATGGTGCAGGATTACACATCCAGGCAAATGGATAGGGGTGAAGTGAAAGATCAGTCCTTTTCTCAGCAGTGAGGGAAGTACAAAGGGAGAACATGAGGAAATGTCCCCCTAACAGTAGAAAGAGGACCCCTCTCCTCTGTGACATTTCTGTTATCATCCCTGGGCTGGGCTGAGCAAGGCAACCTCAGAAATATTCATAAGAAATCAGAACATTTCTGTTACCCTGCTACTCTGGGTGGAGTACTCACTGAGGTGGGAGTTTACCACCATACTCACATCCTGCTTGGTGAAATACTTCAGACATCCCTCTCTCTCAGACAAGAGGAACTTGCGGGGTAGGAACTGCCCATTGTCTCGACCTCGCTTCCAGAGGATGCCTTCCTTCACCCCTAGGAGCAGAAAAGTCACTTTTAATAGCAGCTCCCAAGAACACTGTAGGCTTCAGAGAGCTGCACACAGCCAGGGGTCCAGCCACCCCTCTGGGATAAAGATATGATGGACAATGGCCGAGAACAAACACCTGAGAGGTGTCACCTCTGACTTACAACTGAAGATGGTGGTGTTTCTGGGTTTGCAGCCCAGATAAATGCTCACCAAAAGACATTCCCAGATTCTTCCCACCTCTTAGCCCTGCTCCCACTGCTGCCTCTGACAGCGTGAAAGCTGTCTCCTATGAACACAAGAGTCCTGGCCCATGCAGATGCTGGTGTGGGATCAGAACTCTTCCCACTTGAGTTTGCAGGTCTTTGGGCTGCAGCACCCTTTGTCATACACAGACATTTTAAAGCCAACAGCCATGGTTAGAGAGGGTGGCATTCAACAGGACAGAAATTCCTTACTGCAGAGGTCTGCCTCCGTCAGGACATCAAATTCCTTTGAAAAATTCCAGCTGGTAATACCAGGCTTGGATGCAACCTGTGCCAGTGCCAGCCTATGCTTTCCACAATTTAATCCCCCCAAAACAATGCCCTGTAAGTACGAGTTGGGTTCTTGGGAGTACTTGTGGGATCTGCAACACTGACACTTCATGATGCTCAGAAGTTCCTATCAAAGGCAACAGGCAAGACATTTTGATGCTGTGCTCTGCTCTTACCATCAGAATACGGCAGCTGTTTTCCTGGCTCAGTGAATTCTTTGCGTTCATATTTGGCCCGTATCCACTGTTCTCTCAGCACTCTAAGGAGAGAGGTGACAGGTAGCTCAGAAACAAACTAGAAGAACTGAGAGAGAATTGCCCTTCCCCCTTCTGTATGCAGCAACTTACTGACAGTCATTGTAGGTTGGCTGGTAATAGTAAATAGGGATGTGAGCTTCATACGTGGCTTTAGTCACAGCATTCCCATGCTTGGCCAGAAACTGCAGGGTTAGACAGAGAGTTAGTGCCTTGCCTTTGATGCAGACTCATGCTGGACCTTTTTCTTTTCTGACCCACTACAGGGCTAGATGCACATCTAGCTTTAATGGAGCACTCTCTTTCCCCTCCATTGCAACATCCCGGCAGTCTGGCTACAGGGAGGTGGGTCTCAAAGGTCTCATCTACTCTCAGACGTTACTCTGATTGCACCTGAATCAACAGAATGCCATAAATGTCACTTCCGTTGGGGCTGGATGCACACACGTTCAGTGGATTTGCTGCCATGCCCCACATCTCCCGGAGAGTTCAACAACAGCTCTGCAACGCCATCTGGGAGGACATTCCAAACTTCTTCAGTCCCCTTCCAAAGAGCAACAAGATACAGAGTATTTTCTTTGGATCTCCAGAAAATATTTTCAGTCCCCTGGAGATTAGTGAGTTGAGGGGACTGGAACGGGGAGAAGTCAAGTTTCCATAAATGCCATTTTTCTCAAAAAATTATATTATATCTGTAAACTCTTCTCAGAGAATGGAATTGTACAAGATTTTCCCCTTGGACTGCTGAAACCAAAAGGAGACATTGAGACTGGATGGTGTTGGCAAGTGGAAAATAAGTAACCTGGAGCAGCAAAGACCCTGAGCCTTAGCAAGATACATTGCAAGAGCTCTGCCTTTGCCATAAAGTAACAGGACACGGGGAGACACATAAAGCAAGTGCATTCCCTCTCTCCCAGTGAGTTATGGAGAGCTATCCCTGACTGAGTATCAGGAGCATCAGTAGAAAAGGAACAGATTAAATCAGATTACATCTTCAACCCTGTGAGGCCAGTGGGCTCATTTTCCCAGGACACTTGGTGTATAGCCTAGACCCAACCCACTCGACATACCGGTGGGGATAAAGATCTCACCTGCACCTGAGCATCATCCCAGAGGTCCATCTTCAGGGATTTGACTTTGCTGATGCTAGGGATGTTGCGATGAATTCCTGAACAGCTGAGGCATATAAAGACACCCAAAGTAGAGGATGCCCAGTCAGGATCTGAGAGTATAAAAAAGGGTATGACTAGAAGTGGTGAATTCCCCTGGGCGATATGCCTCACCTGAGAATGTAGTCCTGAGAAACAGAGAGCTGAGTGATCACAGTTTCATCTGAGCTGATTAATTAACACACAAGGTACAGATGCCAGTCAGGAAAAAACCACAGCTATTAGTCCCTCATTTTCCCTGTTTCAACCACTTTGTCTGAATCTTTATTAATGTATACCTTGAAAAACTTTGAAATGCTCCACAGACTGCCTTTGCATAAAGGGTCACCCAAGATGAAAATGAAACCACCTCTGGGAAAAGACTCCAGGAGATGTTTAGTGCGTCACAGTGAACCACCAACAGTATTTAGTCCAGGAAGTGGAAAACAACCTTGAATCTAAAATTTTCCTGGAAGAATTTAATAAGATAAAATGGTACTAATTAGCCCAGTCCTAATTTGGCTTGAGTGCTCCATTTGGGGGTGTATGATGGGTGTTTTTAGCAGCATTTGTAGGACCTCAAACTGGGTACCTTTTTGAGAGGGCTAGCCCTTCAGTAAATGAAATCTCCTAGGCGAGTGAGGCAGGTTGTCAGTTCAGAGCTGAGTCATGGAGGAGACAATGCCCTCCTGAATCATGCCTTCTTTCTGGAAGCAGTTAGCATTTCACTGGGAACTTTCCTGTCAGGTCCTGACTGGGCATGACCTTGATTTGTATTTGAGATCTAACATGACTACAACCCACAGTGCTGCAGCTATGCAGCCCCCGCTTATCTAGCACTCCCACATCCCAGTCCTTCTTCCCACCAGCGCTGTGGCAGCATCTCCTTCCTGTTCCCTTGCCAACACACCTTCAGGGAGAGGAAACGAATATGCAGAGCAATGTCTTCTCTTCCTCTCAACCCCAGGCTCCTGTGCAGTCCAGATAGCCAGCACCAAATAGCTGCTAGAGACCAGCCCCAGCTCCTTGCTGCCAACGTTTCCTCCAGCATCCTTCGAGGACTCACCTGGCTTCCCGCAGTCTGCGCACAAAGAGTTTTCTGCTCTTTTCCACACCTCCTTCAGGGCCCTCATGCTCCGCTCGTTTCCTCCGGCCATCAGCTCCTAATGGTATCCCTCCAGGTAGGGCAGGACAGGGCCAGGAAGGCAGCTGCCTGTGCCTTATGCACCTGCAGGCCAACCCAGTGGGTTGCCCAAGGGAGAAGGAGCCACCAGAGAGACAAGCTCTGGCAGACGGAGGGAAAAGGGGAAGGCAAGAAAAGCCTTAAAGTTAATGGAAAGGGTACGGAGGCCTGCCGGTGCACCTGAGCCAGCTGAGCGCAGGCAGGGGCAAAGAGGCTGGAGGCTGAAGTGCACCCAGACTGTGAGTGAGGAGGAGGAGACCTGCCCCATGGGCGTGGAGGGAAGTGCAGCAATTAACCACAGAACTGGTTTTTCCGCATTTCTGCTGGTGAAAGGACAGGCCAGGAAAAGAGCACAAGCAGCAAGCGAGCTGATAAAGGAGAGCTCGTTTTGGACTAGCGGCCGCCAGGCTGTGACAGGACTTGTGTCAGGACTTGTCACACTCTGTGCGCTGGGGGAGTTGGCTTTGGCTGCCCCCACAGCACTTCAGGAACTTCTACCAAAGTCAACTGGCCAACACAAAGGCATTACATCCATTTTTAAGGCAAGAACAGGGGGGCAATAAAGGTTCAAGAGTTCATCCAAAGTCACTCAGCCATCAGCCAATAACATGGCAGTCTTGATGCCCCCATGAATTCGTGCCAGTACCTCTCACCACCTCTACAAAAACCACAGCTGTCCAGCCAGGTCCTGCACCAGGTCCTGCATCTTGGATACTCAGTGTCAGAGCCATGCCTTGCAATTGCCTCCCCTGGCTAAGAGGAGCAGCACAGGCATCACTAACACCAAGCAATGGCAATACCTCAGAGCTTTATTGAAGAATGTTCAAATGAAGAATTGCAAATTTAAACTATTTGGAGGAGTGACCTTTACTAAAGAGATGTAGATTTATATCACTCAGGAGCGGCAGAACAAATCTCAGGGTGTGAGATCGGCTGCTGCACTGGCACGTCCACACCGGGCAGTGCCATAAAATCTTTTGCTGAGAGGGAGATGAAGAGGAGTGTTCCCACGCCTGACGAAACCCCCTGTCCACCCTCGGCTGGATGCTGAGGCCGGGAGCGGAGGCCTGGGAAGCTCATGACCCTGTCCAGTATCTCCTGCCCGAGCCGAGGCGGGGGGCGGGCGGCACAGAATGTCGGGCGGGGCAGGGGCGGCCCCCGGGCCCGGCGGCGGCGGAAGGGGCGGGCGGCGGCGGCAGCGTGGTACCGACATGGGCCGCAACAAGAAGAAGAAGGGCCCGGGCGGCCGCGAGGGGCGGCTGGTGCTGACTTTCGACGAGGAGAGGCGGAGGTGAGGCCGGGCGGGCCGAGGGAAGCGGAGGAAGGAGGGAAGGAAGGCATCCCCCGGTCGCTAAAAGCTGGAGGGGTGGGGGTTCTGTGTTGCCGGCGGCAGGGAGTACCTGACCGGCTTCCACAAGCGGAAGGTGGAGCGGAGGAAAGCGGCGCTGGAGGAGATCAAACGGAAGCTAAAGGAGGAGCAGAGGAAGATGAAGGAGGAGGTGGGAGAACGGTCTTGTATGCCCCCCTCTCCCCGCCGTGGTGGGCTGGGAGCGGGGCAGGAGGGGCGGCAGAGGCGCCGCAGTGACCTATTTCCATCCCTCAGCGGCACCAGGAATACCTGAAGATGCTGAGCGAGAGGGAGGAGGCGCTCGGTACGTGCTGGGCCCTCGGGTGGGAAGAGAGAGGGATGCCTGTGGTTCTGGGGTGATAAGGGTTGCGGCAGGGATGCTCGCACATTGTCCCGAAACAACATCTGCTCGCTCCTCCCATGTCCCCCTGGGAAGCTGGGCAGCGATCTGAGCGGTGACCCCACAGCCCTCTGGCTTTGGGGGACAGGAGGTCAAGTGGGTTGTACAGAAGGGAAGGAGGCAGGAGGGCATCTCCGAGGTGTTCATCTAGGTCCCCACAGCAGGGAGAAGGAGCTTGCCCTCCATGCCTGTAGTGGTGGTGTTCAAGCCCCGCTGCCCTTCAGCCCTGCCTGTGATGGCTGAGTGTTCAATCCCCTCCCCAGCACAGTGCAGCAGGAACAAGTGAGTGTACCTCGTGAAAAGTTGGGCACTTTGCAGTGCAGGATTTCTTTGTCTTCCCAGATGAGGCTGATGAACTGGAGCACTTGGTGACATCTCGGACAGAGTCTGTGAACATCGACCACCCAAACCACATCGTAACAGTGACCACCATCAGTGACCTCGACCTCTCAGGGGCACGCCAGCTGGGACTGACCACCCCTGTGGTGAAGCCTCTTGCTACCTTTCTGATTGTATCAGCTGTAAACATTCTTGGGGCTGGCTGGTGCTCCCTGAGTATGCCCAAAGACTTGCAGCTGGCTGGGAACAGGGATGAAAAGGGAAACTTGTAACTTTCGTATTTTTCCACAACTTATGTTGGGCCTCTAAAGAGGAGGAAATGTCCGATGTGAATAGTTCACTCCAAACTCCCTGGAATCCTTTGCTTGTCCCACCTGACCTTGATTAAGTGAAAGTCACAGGGCTGGATGGCAACACTGTAGTACTTTATAGCAGATACAACAAAATAAGCAGCAAGATTTCAGACTTTGCTGCATGGACTGTCCTCAACCTCTTTCCTGTGTCCTGTCCAGAAAAATTATTATTACCATTAGGAGGGATTTCTTTCTCCATGGTCCTGTGCTTGGACCACAAATAAGGAAACCACTTAGTTCTGGTTGTGGTCACTTTTGTTCTCAAAATACATTGTAACTGAGATCTTGTATTTATTTTATAGAGACTCTCAGGTACTAGTTGACTTGATCTCTTTTAATCTTTGAGTTGTGGCTGGATTTGAGCTCTTTGGGAAAGTGTCTGTTAACCTTATACATTTGTAAGGTCACCTTCTAATCTGAAAATCCACTTAAAGAGGTCTTGATAGTAATTTAAGAAAAAAGATGAGACCTTTGGTTCATAATTTAGACTTCAATTGCATGGCCATTAAGATCATGCTGAAATTTTAGGATCTGAGGATGGATTACTATAGGTCACTGGTCGTCCCTTTCCAAGGGACTTCCGTAAGAAACCTTGACACTTGCACAGCAAGGGATGTGGAGAAATAAAAGGTCTTCATCTGTGACTAGATGGTTCACAAAACAGGATGAAACCAAGAAGGCACTGGAAATGCCAGAATCACAAAACTGTTTTCTTTTTAAGGGAAAAAGTGATGGATCAGAAGAAGAGAAAGGGGAAGAGAAGAAGCCTATAAGACCAATGCCCAAGAAGTCCAGAAACCCCTTCCTGTCTGACAAGTATGTATAGATTCATTCAGGCCTTTGCTGTTAGACTCTGGAAGCTGATCAGAGGAGGTTTGCTTTCAGGATCCGCGGTGTGTGGCTGCAGGAGGGGATGCGGTGCTGCCCTGCGGGCAGGAGCCAGCAGGGGCCGCTGGCGGAGCACAGGCTGCCCGAGCGCTCCGGGCCCATCTCACGGGCTCTGGTGACAGCGGCTGGAGGAGGAGAGTGGGCTTCGTGCTCACCTCTTTACCTAGTCCTTCACCTCGCCACATACTGCAGGGTGCAGAGCTTGTCTCTAGGGTTGAAGATCAACAGATCTTAAAGCTGAAAGCTTTGGCGTTCTCCACATTTTTCAGTATCCAGGTCTTATTACTGCTTGGGGGGTTGTGGAGAATTACTTAACTCTGTGGTGTCTGGGCAGCACACTGCTCCCAAAATTAATTTTTGGTTGTTACTACACATGGAGACTTGCAGGTTTCGTGCATGGCTTGGAGTTCCTCTGGGGCTTGCCATGGCTGGCTCCTGTTCCTGCTGAGTCATACAGGGCTTTTCTGCTATTGTTGTGGTGTCGCCTTGTTTCTGCAGACTCTAGTCCCCAAACATTTTTCTCTTTCTGCCATGCACAGAATCTCTGCTCTTACTGCCACGCTGCACATGCACAGCCGGAAAAAGACGAAAGGAAAGAGATCGCAATGCGGGCAAGGCCCACGGAAGAAAATCCAGAAGTCCAGCACAGGACGAACCACCAAGACTCAGCGACGGAGATTGACGGGCAAAATGGGCCGCGACCAAGACTAACAGAGAAACTAATGTTCAAACCACCAGCTGGGACAGTGCTCCACATCTGGCCTGCTGCTTTTTGGGGCCCTGTTGTTGTGGGCAAGCCCCTTGCTTACTTGGTGCTCTGACCAGCAGTAAGCCCAGTTCAGCCTTTCTTTAGCCTCCTGAGCACTGGCCAGGGTGACTATAGACACTCTGCCCATTTATTTCTGCATTGGTCTCCAGCTAAGTGTCTGAGTACCACAGAGCCTCTTAAAAACTCCTACTGAGGGTCACACTTGCTATTTGGTATAACCCTTCTGTCCTTGGGCGCCTCCCCTGTCAGAGCTGATACTTGGCTTTGTTAAGGAAAAGGATCTGGGGCAGAGTGCAACAGGCACATCATCATCAGGGCAATTCGAGAGACTTGGAAGAGCTCTGCTTCCACTCCTGCATCGGTGCCCTGGCATTTCTGCTGTGCAGTAAATCCTTTTTCCGTGGAGACGTGGTGTCATCTTGCCTCATGTGTTCCTTCACCAGTGCCACACCTGAATGCAGGGGTGCTTTTTGTTTTGTACCTGTGCCATGTGAAGTTGGGTAACTTTTCGAATAAATCTGAAGTCATTTTGCTAAGAAAAAAACCAAACGTTCGTGACTTATCTGAAGAATAACAGGAGCTGTGCTAACGCCAGTACCAGCTGGAAAGAGAGGGAGATAATTCCTGGTGCTTAAAGGATATTGAAATCCACTGGTGCTTGGAAAATGGAATAGCTAGGAGCTATTTCCGTGGTAAGGCAGAGCCAGCCAGAGCAGGAATGGCTCATTCCATTGTCTGCTGAATATGCCGATCTTAGCTGTGATAGCTCAGGGGAGTATGAAATGCCCTAATGCCCTTGCTGTATGTGGGTGGCCCTCTTCAGGGTGGGAGTGGCAGAGACTGCCCTTGCCCTTTACCTCAGGGCTGCTGTTGTTGTTAGCAGCTAATTGCCTTTCTTCTTAGGACTTAAGCGTATGTTTTTTAGTGCGGTTGCCT